CGGCCCACTTTACCAGCCAACCGGAGGACAAGGGGTTCCGTAGCACACTCCCGAGTGGCTGATCCGTCAGGACCCGGACGGTATGGGCTTGGAAGTAAGGCGCCAACTTGCGCACGGTGACCACCAAGGCATACACGATCTTTTCCAGGGCGGTGTACCGTGTCTCGGCAGCTTTCAGTGAGCGGCTTACATAGTAAACCGGGTGCTGGACTCGGTCCTCCTCTCGAACCAACACCGAACTTACCGCTTTGGCCGAGGCGGCGAGGTACAACAGTAAGGGCTCGCCCTCCTGGGGGGTAGACAGTACTGGGGGAGTCGACAGATATCGTTTTAATTCCTCGAACGACTGTTGGCATTCGACAGTCCAAGCGAATCCCTCTTTCTTCTTCATGGCTTCGAAGAAAGGCACAGTCTTATCCGCCGATTTGCTCAGAAAACGGCTGAGAGCGGCCAGTCGTCCGGTCAAGCGTTGTAGGTCCTTGATAGTAGTAGGAGGCTGCATGTCGAGGATGGCTTGTACTTTCTCTGGGTTAGGCTCGATGCCTCGCTTGGTGACCATGTAGCCCAAAAACTTATCGCCCTGGACGGCGAACGCACACTTCTTGGGGTTCAATCGGAGGTTGTACTTTATCATTACTTTAAAGCAATCGGCTAAGTCTTCTGCGTGCTTGTCCTCTTCTCGACTCTTGACGAGCATGTCGTCGACGTATGCGGCCATCGATTTTCCTAGCAGGTGGTGGAACAACCGGGCGACCATTCGGGTGTACGTAGCCCCGGCATTTTTGAGTCCGAATGGCATGACTCGATAGCAATAAACTCCGTCCGGAGTTAGGAAGGCGGTCTTCTCCTCGTCTGCCGGGTGCATGAATATTTGATGGTACCCTCTGAAGGCATCCATGAAACTAAGCAGCGCCGACTCGGCCGTCTCGTCGACTAGTTGGTCGATTCGGGGCAGAGGGAATGGATCTTTTGGGCATGCTTTGTTGAGATCCGTGTAGTCTACACACATTCGCCACGTCGGGGGCTTGGGCACAAGGACCACGTTAGCCAACCATTCCGGGTACTTGACCTCACGGACGTGCCCGGCTGTTAACAGCGTGCTAACTTCTTTCTTCACAAACTCCCTCCGGTCGTTGGCCAAGTATCGTTTCTTTTGCACGACCGGCCGGTGCTCCGGGTCTACGGCGAGTCGATGCGATATGATCGATCGATCTACGCCGGGCATATCTTCTGGGCCCCAGGCGAAAACCAGCCGATGCTCCTGGAGTACTCTCGTGATTTCCCCCTTTAACTTCTCCGAAAGACCGACTCCGATTCTCACTCGCCTGCTCGGCTGTGCTGGGTCGATCTCAATTTCCTCTAGCTCGATAGCCGGCTCTGGGCGAGGTATCACTGTTTTCTTAGGGGGCCTCTCGGTGATCTCGTGGACCTGCATCCCACGCTTGCCCATTCCTCTACATGCTTGCAGATAGCAGTCGCGGGCGACCTTGCGGTCACAACGCACCGTTCCTATTCCGTTCGGCGTGTGAAACTTCAGGCACAAATGTTCGATTGAGATCAGAGCCCCGAGGTCTTCCAAACCCGGGCGGCCGAGTATGGCGATGTGTGAGCAGGCTAGATCGACCACGATGAACTTCATGCTCAACTGTTGTACGTTCGGATAGCTGCCGATTTCCACAGGAAGAGTGATGGACCCTTCCGCCTCCACCGAGTCCCCGGTGAAACCGGCGAGAGGGGTGTTCACGGGTCTGAGCTGTTCTTGGGTCAGCCCCATCTTGGTAAAGGTCTCCAGGTACAGTACGTTGACGCTGCTCCCGGTGTCGACCAGGATTCGGCGAACGACCACACCGTTGATGTCCATGGCGATGACCAACGCGTCTCGATGCGGGGTTTCCCCGGCTGGCAGGTCCTTATCGGTGAACACGATGGGCTCCCGGCATATCTTTTTGGAGCTCTCTTCTCGACCATAGACTGTTCCGACATATAGCTGCCGAGCCCAGGCTTTTCGGGTGTTTGCGGAATCATCGCCTTCTGGCCCACCGACTATCATGTTAATGACCGGCTTCTGGCGCCATTGGGCTTCGTCCTCTTCGGAAGCCGGCTGCTTGCCTCGGCTGTTTTCTGAGTCGGCGACGGGTCCCTCACCTCCTCGACTGGTCGATCTTCGCTTCCATTGGTTAGGGGGCGGTGTCCCTTGCTGGATGATCCCCTCCATAATCTTCTTTAGGTAGTAGCATTCTTCTGTGCTGTGAGTATAAGATTTGTGATAGCGACAATATTTAAAAGTCTTACCCGTATCCTCGTCCGCTGCACGGTCGTCCATCGGCGGAGGCGGAGGCGGGGCGACCGCCTGTACTTCGTGGACTGGTCGCTCTGGAACCGGTCGATAGGTGTGAACGACGGGTCGGTCATACGGTCGCCTGACCTCGGATCGCCGGGCGGCATCCGAACGCCTTTCTCTCGTTTCCACCCGCGTCCTTTTTCCGCCGGCGGACCCACCGACCTCGCGCTGCCGTTTATGCTTCATGGCCTGCTCTGTGTTGGCCCTCTTGTTGGCCATCTGGACAGCCTCCGCGTATGTCGCCGGGCGATTGTCCCTTTGGTCTCGATACAGCTGTCCGGATCGCAAAGATTCAATGAAGAAGGTGAGCGCTGTCTGGTCCTCCACCTCTTCTATTGACTGGATCTCCTTCTGCCAGCGAGCAAGATAGGCTTTCAAGGACTCGCCTTCATCCTGATGGATGTCGCCTAAGTGCGTCAGATCCTTCTGTGGCTTGATGTTAGCGGCATAGTGGCTCATGAAGCGGTCTGCCAGTTCCTCAAAGCTGTGAATCGACCCTGGGGGCTGACCTACAAGCCATCTTTGGGCGGGCCCCTTCAGCGTGGGTAAGAAGGCACGGCACATGACCGGATCCCGCACTCCTAGGACTTGCATCTTAGCTTGGTAACTCAATAGATGTTCTCGCGGGTCGCCTGATCCGTCAAATGTGGCTTGCTCCGGGAACTTGAAGTCGCTCGGTATCTTAAAGGCCATAACCTCATCTGAGAAGGGTAAGGCGGTCAGCAACGTACGTCCTGGGGATTTGGCTTTTCCCTCCATCCGTTCTTTCAGATTTCGTACCTCCTGTACTAGGTTGGCCACTTCGATCCTCTCCCGGGTGCGATTTCCCGTGGATTCCGTGTTTTCGCCGACTTCAGACTCAGCCAGTTGGACGGGGTTGCGAGGCGGCTGCTCCACACGACGAGTCTCAGTTCCGGCTCTTTTGGTTCGGCTCTTCTCTCGTGCAGCTTGTCGGTCGCGGGCGACTAACGGGGCACGACTGGGCTCCTTCCGGCCTAATCGTTCTCTTGCCGACTGACGTCCGACGCTGGGACCTAGCCGGGAATGGACGGATTGCACCGGTTGGCTTTCAGCCCGTCGGCTCAATTGCCGATTGTCTGGCCTCTGAGGCGGTTGCAACTCGCGTTGCAGTTGGCGGGTGATGGACTGTTCTCTCACTCTTAGGCTCGCTTCCGCGCAGGCGCGTCCGATTGCACGCAGCTGCTCCGGGGTGAGCAGCACTTGAGGTAATTGCGGGTTTCTCAGCGGCGTCGGCGGCGGTGTCGTCTCGTTTTCATGGCCTCGGGCATTTCTCCTATTCAGCTGGTTTCTCAAGTCGGCCTCTCGTCCGTTATCTTGACGGCTCGACTATTCCTCGCTTCCAGCCATGTCTGGAGTTTGCCTGATTCAACTATTGTTCCTCGGACTCGCCCTACTCAAGAGGACACGTGACTCTTCGTTTCGATCCCCACAGACGGCGCCAGTGATGGTTTTTGGGTTTTCGGGCCCAAGGAGGTCCAACATAACCTTAAGCTGGAGGATACACCTTTCACAAAAAGTCTATATTTTTAGTGAAGTATGATGCTCAATAGTGCTCTCTATTTCCCTCTCCGGGTTCTCTAATCTCCCTCTTACAAGGGTGGAGGAGCCCTTTTTATAGTGGCTCCTCCTCTACTGACTTAAAGGCTCACGATGGCCGACTTCAAGATTACATTTAATGCGCCGAGCCGTTGGGCGACGTTACGGACTCTGCCAACGGCTCTCTCTGGCCGGTAACTGGCGGACCGAGTCCGACCTTTAATGCCTCAACGGCTCCTTGCCTTAACTGCTCTGAAGGCTCCTTCAACGGCTCTCTGGGCCGGGTCCTCTCCTGGGCCGTGCCTGGGCCGACTCCTCGCCCCCGTTCGGCATTGGGCCGTCCTTCTTTGGACCTGGGCCGAGTCCTGGACTCGGCCCATGCATTCCTTCTGGGCCTCTTTTCTTGGGCCGGGGTTCTCACCCCATCACAATAAATACTCATTTTTTTTTATATATATTATTTACAAATAAACTTTCAGTACATTAAAAATAAACATTTATTACACATTAGGGAAAAGGGTCAAATAAGCCCTCCAACTATTGCTAAGAAGTCAATTAGGCCCTCCAACTATTTTAAGAAGCAATTACACCCCTAAACAATGTATTTTGATGCAAAGAAGTCCAAATACAGGTAAATGACCTGCTATCCCAGGTCATCGCAAATCCGGCGACACTCCGACGTATTTTCCGGCGAAAAAGTGACCGGCGACCGGTTTGGAGTGAGAAATATAGGTTGGAACCTCCCAACCCCACAAAGTGAGCCACGAATAATAATAATATTGCACCCTTTATCACTTGTATTTGATACCCACTTTAATTCATAAAACTTTTCCACATAAATATATTTGGTGCTCACTTTAACTCAATTCACACTCATTTTAAATTGTAAAGCTTACTTTTTCACTTCGAGTATATTTAGTCTTCACTTTAATTAATTCAAACTTTTTCACGTAAGCATCCTAGTGCTCACTATAACTTAATTAATACACATTTTAAATCGTAAAATTTGTTCACACAAACACTCACTCAATTCGTAAATCTTCATCAATAATACTATTAAAAAAAAAATTATCCTGAAACTCATTAATTGTTATATTTGAACCAAACTCAATATCTACATTTATATTTATATTTTATATAAAAGGAAAATACAATAACCGTCACAAAAAAAACCCAACTGAAAACATAAACTGTTTTGACAGTGGTGGCAACATAGTATTACAAAAAAGCAGTACTACTATGCCGGCGTCACTAGCACCCCCCCCCCCCCCCCCCCCCCCCCCAACACTAATAATTACGGAGTTTTCATTTTTAGAAAACAAATATATTCATATCTCAACTGCGCATCCAGACTGCACAAATCCAAGGAATTCATCTGGGACGTCTATTTTCACCAGTTTACGATTTTGCCCTCCATTGTTATCCGAGAAGAAAAACCCGTGCGGTGCACCCTGGTATGGAGCTCCGGTCACTACCGTCATTTTGCCTAGATCAATCCCGCAGGCTCCGACCCGGATCTCCGGGTCGGATTCTGCCCAGCATAGTAAATTACCGTCTTTGCCCATCCCCACGCACGCTCTTGGACACCGATTCGCGCCCCACGCGTCGTCGACTCGCTTCCACTCGCCGGAACTCAGTTCCATTGACTCGGCGCTGCTCTTGAACCGCCCTTGCGACTCGGTGTCGTACCCGCTGACGACCCAGAACTCGGACCCGATTACCAGGCCCTCGCACTCGTCTCGCTCCTCGATCATCCGCGGCAGCTCCGACCACTCGTTCCGCCGGATATCGAACACCCACGCCGAGCTCAGGGCGTTCTTGCTCTCGTCGTGGCCGCCGGCGACGAACACCCTCCCTTCCGCCGCCCCCACGGCGAAGAAGGAGCGCTTGGAGGGCATGTCCCGGCACTGAGTCCACCCGCGAGTGGCGAAGTCGTACACAAAAATATCCTTCACTGGGTCCCAATTCGCCGGGTCCCACCCGCCCATCACCACCAGCTTCCCTTCCGTGCTCACAATTTGGCAAAACATCGGCAACCCATTCCGGTACTTGGGAATCGGGTCGATCCAGGCCCAAGCCCCGCTCACCGGGTCGAACATTGAAACGCCGTAACTCGGTTGCCCCACCGGTTTGGAATCGGACGGCACCGGCCGCGCCTGAACAAGGCAAGCGGCCTTGTGGGTATGCCCCGTTTTCTTCCGGTGATAGTAAAAGTCCCGGCTGAGAAGAAGCTCGCGCCACCGCCGGCACACGAGCGAAGCCACCGAGTGAGCTGAGTAGTGCAACCGAGTCAAACATTCGAGAGCGAGTTCCTCGGGCAAACCCGGAAGTAACTCCGCGAGTTGTACTGAGTCCATGACTCGTTAATTATTCTCCAGAAGCTTATCTCTTAGAAGATAAATGTAAGAAGAAGGGAATTATGAAAAAAGTGATGCGTGGAGACTCGAGGTTATCTAGATTATTTATAGTATGGAGGAGAGGGAAAAATGACAAGGCGGTCACCTGATCTCTGCCTAACCAGCAACCATATTCCTCCACGTGTCCTCTAAGATTTTGAGAGTCTGTCATGCCAGTGCACTGTATGCCACAGAGAAAATTATGATAACCCAGACGCCTAGAGAGTAGAGACTAGAGATATTCTCGTGATGTTTAGCTTAAATATTATATTAAATATTACATTAATGGCATTAAAAAAAATTATTACAGTAATCGTTTTAAAAAAAAAGATATTACATTAATTAATGTTTAAGTGAAATACATTAACTATAGTAAGTATTTGTCTTTTTGTCTTTTCATTGATAAACTAAAAGCAAAATGAAATAAAACTACTATAATTAAATAAAAATATTGTCCTATAAATCATACAGATAATCTTATCCTCTAAATCAAAATACGTAATTAATACTGTCAAAATATGTTTGGTATGTCAGACCAACCCATATTTAAACTATCTGGGTTTATTTGTTGTCTAATTATTAACTTTCACTCTTTTAGAATTAATTTTAATTAAACTTAACCTTTAAGAATCAATTGTTAACTACCAAATAGTAAGAGTAATTTTTTCAATTTAAAACGAATAAAATTTTACAATTTTTAAATATTTTAAAGTAATAATTAATAATTAGGGCATCCTCAATAGTTGAGGATTTTACCCCTAATTTTTGTGGGTTCCAACATCCACCTCATCATCCACTATTTCACTCAATCACAAAATCTCTTCTTCCCATTAGTTTGAAACTTTTTTACAACTTTTTGTGGACCCACCATTTTTTCTCCATATTTTAATTATTTCTTTATTATTTGATTTAAAAATTTATAATTTTAGAGGTAAACATAATGATACGTAAAAATAATACGTAAATTAGCATACGTAAAAATTGCAAGAGTGGGAATTTTGGCTATTTGAATTGTTTCCTTCTATTTTTGTATGCAAATTGAGAGAGTTGAATGAATTGAGAGAAATATCAAAATTGAGAGTAGGATGAAAAGTGTTAAAAATTGAGGAAAGATGTGTTATTTATAGCAAATAAAATGATTAAAAAAAAAACTTATAAGTTTTGCCGTTGCAATTGCAACGGCACAAATTATGGCAACAAATGGCCGGAAAAATGGCCGTTGCCATTGGCAACGGCCGGAAAGAATTAATTTCGGAGTGGCCGTCAGTTGGCGGTCACTCTGAAACGCCTTGGCGGGCGCGTGTTCCAAGCAGAAGGGTGAGACGCACCTGCGCGTCTCACCCTTCATTTGTTATTTTTTTTTTTCAAAAATTTCTGACAAATTTTTTTCTTTGCAGTAGAAAAATGAAGCTTATTTTTTACCTTCCCATTAGTTCAAAAGCAAAGGTAGGGGATTTTATTGTTCCAAAATGTGGGTATGAACCCCCTAATGGGGATGCCCTTAGTATGCTAGTTAAGTAGCTAGCTAGCTAAATAGTGAATTTCTACCAATTTAATAAAATATTATATCTTTTAAAAGTGTATGTGTCACGAATGATCATTCATGAGTTAAAAATTAAAGGTCATATCTATATCAACTTTTACTCCCACATGAAACTTTGATGTAGACATTTGTATTGAGATTCATATGAAAAAAGTAACTTATCAATGCCCACAATTTAAGGGAGTAAAATTTGTGAGTACATGTAGTATAACTCTATAAAGGAAGGCAGGTAGTGATGATTCCCCCTAAGGTTGCTACACAATTTTATTTATTTTTCTTAAAGGGCAGTCATGAATGCATGTGTCCTACAATTAGGCAAAAGCGGTCATGATTGGATAAGAAGAAGAAATTTTTGGCCAAGTCTATGAAGTAGGACGATATAAAATTGGGCATTTGAAGAAGATGATCTCGAAGACTGCCTACCTTAGATTACTTTCATTTTCCTTTTTCGTTTTAGTCTTTAATTTACAAATTCAAAATATTTGATGTCAACACCATGTAATGCGTTAAGTTAGTTGATGGTTTTTGGGTTTTCGGGCCCAAGGAGGTCCAACACATGGACCTGCATCCCACGCTTGCCCATACCTCTACATGCCTGCAGATAGCAGTCGCGGGCGACCTGGCGGTCACAACGCACCGTTCCTATTCCGTTCGGCGTGCAGAATTTCAGGCACAAATGTTCGATCGAGATCAGAGCCCCGAGGTCTTCCAAACCCGGGCGGCCGAGTATGGCGTTGTGTGAGCAGGCTAGATCGACCACGATGAACTTCATGCTCAACTGTTGTACGTTCGGATAGCTGCCGATTTCCACAGGAAGAGTGATGGACCCTTCCGCCTCCACCGAGTCCCCGGTGAAACCGGCGAGAGGGGTGTTCACGGGTCTGAGCTTTTCTCGGGTCAGCCCCATCTTGGTAAAGGTCTCCAGGTACAGTACGTTGACGCTGCTCCCGGTATCGACCAGGATTCGGCGAACGACCACCCCGTTGATGTCCATGGCGATGACCAACGCGTCTCGATGCGGGGTTTCCCCGGCTGGCAGGTCCTTATCGGTGAACACGATGGGCTCCCGGCATATCTTTTTGGAGCTCTCTTCTCGACCATAGACTGTCCCGACATATAGCTGCCGAGCCCAGGCTTTACGGGTGTTCGCGGAATCGCCGCCTTCTGGCCCACCGACTATCATGTTAATGACCGGCTTCTGGCGCCATTGGGCTTCGTCCTCTTCGGAAGCCGGCTGCTTGCCTCGGCTGTTTTCCACGTCGGCGGCGGTTCCCTCGCCTCCTCGACCGGTCGACCTTCGCTTCCATTGGTTAGGGGGCGGTGTCCCTTGCTGGATGATCCCCTCCATGATCTTCTTTAGATAGTAGCATTCTTCCGTGCTGTGAGTATAAGATTTGTGATAGCGACAATATTTAGAAGTCTTACCAGTATCCTCGTCCATTGCACGGTCGTCGACCGACGGAGGCGGAGGCGGGGCGACCGCCTGTACTTCGCGGACCGGTCGCTCTGGAACCGGCCGATAGGTGTGAACGATGGGGCGGTCATACGGTCGCCTGACCTCGGGTCGCCGGGCTGCGTCCGAGCGCCTTTCTCTCGTCTCCACCCGCGTCCTTTTTCCGCCGGCGGACCCACCGATCTCGCGCTGCCGTTTATGCTTCATGGCCTGCTCTGTGTTGGCCCTCTTGTTGGCCATCTGGATGGCCTCCGCGTATGTCGCCGGGCGGTTGTCTCTCAGGTCCCGATACAGCTGTCCGGATCGCAAAGACTCAATGAAGAAGGTGAGCGCTGTTTGGTCCTCCACTTCTTCTATCGACTGGATCTCCTTTTGCCAACGAGCAAGATAGGCTTTCAAGGACTCACCTCATCCTGATGGATGTCGCCTAAGTGTGTCAGATCCTTCTGTGGCCTGATGTTAGCGGCATAATGGCTCATGAAGCGGTCTGCCAGTTCCTCGAAGCTGTGGATCGACCCCGAGGGCTGACTTACAAGCCACCTTTGGGCGGGCCCCTTCAACGTGGGTAAGAAGGCACGGCACATGACCGGGTCCCGCACTCCTAGGACTTGCATCTTAGCTTGGTAACTCAATAGGTGTTCTCGCGGGTCGCCTGATCCGTCAAATGTGGCTTGCTCCGGGAACTTAAAGTCGCCCGGTATCTTGAAGGCCATGACCTCGTCCGAGAAGGGCAAGGCGGTTAGCAACGTACGCCCCGGGGATTTGGCTTTTCCCTCCATCCGTTCTCTTAGATTTCGTACTTCTTGTACTAGGTTGGCCACTTCGACCCTTTCCCGGGTGCGATTTCCCGTGGATTCCGTGCTTTCGCCGACTTCAGACTCAGCCGGTTGGGCAGGGTTGCGAGGAGGTTGCTCCACGCGGCGAGTCTCAGTCCTGGCCCTTTTGGTTCGGCTCTTTCCTCGTGCAGCTTGTCGGTCGCAGACGACTAACGGGGCACGACTGGGCTCCCTCCGGCCTAATCGCTCTCTTGCCGACCGATGTCCGACGCTGGGTCCTAGCCGGGAATGAACAGATTGCACCGGCTGGCTTTCAGCCCGTCGGCTCAATTGCCGGTTATCTGGCCTCTGAGGCGATCGCAACTCGCGTTGCTGCTGGCGAGTGATGGACGATTCTCTCACTCCTAGACTCGCTTCCGCACAGGCGCGCCCGATTGCGCGCAACTGCTCCGGGGTGAGCAGCACTTGAGGTGCTTGCGGGTTTCTCTGTGGCGTCGGCGGCGGTGTCGTCTCGTTTTCTTGGCTTCGGGCATTTCTCCTATTCAGCTGGTTTCTCAAGTCGGCCTCTCGTCCGTTGTCTTGACGGCTCGACTGTTCCTCGCTTCCTGCCATATCTGGAGTTTGCCTGATTCAACTATTGTTCCTCGGACTCGCCTCACTCAAGAGGACACGTGACTCTTCGTTCGATCCCCACGGACGGCGCCAATGATGGTTTTTGGGTTTTCGGGCCCAAGGAGGTCCAACACAACCTTAAGCTGGTGGATACACCTTTCACAAAAGGGTTTTAAGTCTTAGTAAAATATGATGCTTAATAGTACTTGTCTATTCCCTCTCCGGGTTCTTGAATCTGCCTCATACAATGGTGGAGGAGCCCTTTTTATAGTGGCTCCTCCTCTACTGCCTTAAAGGCTCATGATGGCCGACTTAAAGATTACATTCAATGTGCCGAGCCATTGGGCGACGTTACGGACTCTGCCAACGGCTCTCTTTGGCTAGTAACGGGCGGACCGAGTCCGGCCTTTAATGCCTCAACGGCTCCTTGTCTTAACTGTGTTGAAGGCTCCCCCAACGGCTCTCTGGACCGAGTCCTCTCCTGGGCCGGGCCTGGGCCGACTCCTCGTCCCCGTTTGGCATTGGGCCGTCCTTCCGGTTTCTGAACTGGGCCTCCCTCTTTGGACCTGGGCCGAGTCCTGGACTCGGCCCATGCATTCTTTCTGGGCCTCTTTTCTTGGGCCGGGGTTCTCACCCCATCATTAGTAACTTTTGGTTTGAAATGG